GTTTGGTTTTATTATTATGTGCATATTAGTATTGTACAGCACTTTGGTCTACCAGGTGTGTTTTTAAAGTGCTATATAAATAAATAAATGATGATGATGATGATGATGATGATGATGATGATGATGATGATGATGATGATGATATTTGGATCTAATTTTTCTCAGAAACGAAAATCAGGTGAAAAAAAAATACATCAGGTAATTCTTTGTTTTAACATTCATCTGGTCTCAATCAGCCCAAATAGCATAAGAAATTAAAAATGCATGCCAGGGAAGAGTTCGGGTCTTAGGAGGTTAAACATCTCAGTTACATAAACATGTCATGTACTGTGTAGCCTTGTTAGAAAAATCACATTGTTACTTGTTTACATTTACACAAGATGTCAGAAATCTGCACCTTCATAAACAAAAATTAAACCCAATTTTTCACGATTTGTTAGGTTCTCACTCTGGGGTCCAAAATATAATTGTCTATTTTGACTCCTTTTGGTTTTACATTATTTATATGTCACCTTCAAATGTTCTGACCTTTTTTGGTATCATTCTCTTCAGCTCAACCTCATGGTTCTGAATTTAGTTATTTTTTCATTGACATACTGTGTTAACACAACTGATCTGAAATCATAAAAAACAAAAACACAAAATCCTAGCATTAGTTATATTTTTTACTATAGAAATCACACCCGTTTAGTGAATTATTTTCATAACTTGAAATGCAAATATAAATTGTACATGTTGAAAACGTATGCACAAATTTTGTAAACAACTATTTATCTAAAAATGCAATGCAATTTGTGTACAACCATTTAAAAATACTGCTATAACTAAATAAGAGAACAATCAGGTGTCACAATAAGATGGCCCACAAACTGTGCCAGTAAAAAGCCACAAGACAGAGGAGGACACCACAGACCTGAACCCTGCAGGCCTATAAATATAACGCTAAACAGCAAAAACAAACTTCACAACTAATTCTGAACTAGATTTTTCAAAATGAAAAGAAACAGCTCACAGTATAATTTGATAAATCCGTGGCAACAACACACTTCCTGTTTCCTGTAAAAGTTTGCATAGACAATTTCCCAAAAAATAAATAAATTACTACTTAATGAGATCCTTTTCTGTAAGAATCCAAAGGACAGCTTGACACCTCACCATTAGCATGAACTCTATCCTGTTGGCACATGTCATTAACATAATCACAGTGAAGCACAGTCCAAAGGTGCTTTCAGTATGAGGACTGCTTTTCTTTTCTACTTTGAAAAATGTATGCACCAAATAAGAACCTGCTACACGTGAGTCCTTTTCTAGTTTCCCACAACTACAGCGTCTCACCTGAGTGCCCTCTCATGTGGGCAGTAAAAATACCACGATCACTGAAACTTTTCCCACAAGTCTCACAGAAATACTACTTTGAGTGTGTTCTTACGTGGACTAACAAGAGTTCACGAGACCGGAAGCTTTTTCCGCAGAGCTCACAGGGATGTGTTTTCTCGCCTGTGTGGATCCTCATGTGGACAGACAGAATATTTTTCTGAATGAAGCTTTTCCCACATGTTTTGCAAACATACGGCTTCTCACCAGTATGAGTTCTGATGTGTCTCTTAACTGTGGAGGAGTCAATGAATCTTTTCTCACCGATTTGACAGGGGTAAGGTCTCTTGCCCGTGTGTGTTCTCATGTGGATGTTTAAGTTATTACTTTGACAGAAACCTTTCCCACAAATTGTGCATGAGTACGGCTTCTCGCCTGTGTGAACCCTCATATGATATTTCAGTGTTAGTGTGTCTCGGAAGGTTTTTTCACATACATTGCAGGGGAACGGTTTCTCCCCTTTGTGGATCTTCATGTGAACAGATAAATGGCAGTTTTGGCTGAATCGTTTCCCACATGCTTTGCATGAATACGGCTTCTCGCCTGTGTGCGTTCTGTAATGTATCTGCATCTGAGATTTTTTCTTGAACGTTTTTTCACAAACGTAACATTTTACAGACTTCACACCTGTACCTGTGTTACTCTCACTCTCTGACATAACTGAGCTGTCTCCATTGTTATTCCGATGCTTCTTTTTTGGCTCTGACTCTACGGTTTTAGTTGATCTTGCTTCTTTATAATGTTCTGCTCGCTGACCTCTGCTGTTGTTGTTCACAGAACTCTCAAAGAGAAGCTGCTCCCTGTCTCCTTCTGGTTCACTGTGGTCACTTTCCTCATAAGTTTCAGTCACCATAAAGGTATCCGTCTCCTCCTTCAGTCCCAGCTGCTCTCCCTCCTGATTGCTGCACAGTTCCTCCTGTTCCTCTTTAATCTGTGGAGCTTCTGGTTCCTCCTGGTCCAGACTGGAGCTCCTCTCCTGGTTCCAGAGCTGCTGCTCAGGGAGAACCTCCTCCTCCTCCTTACAGACAGGCTGCTGTGGGACATCTGGAGTGTCAACAACAAATGAAAGAAGAGACATGATTAAAAACACAGCAAATAAACTCTGGTTAAAATCATAAACCATAGAATCCCCTGGTAAAATGCATATGTTTACAGCCCGATACAGAAACTGGTTTGGTTGCTACAGATACAACATCCTCCTGTATGGTGGACGATGTTGTTACAACTCACCTGTTTTCATTGGATTAAGGCTTAAATTTTACTAACTCAAGTCGTCTGTACAGAGCTCTTGAGTTGTGCTGTTGGTGTATTTCTAACGCAGAATCAAATCATTTGAATATGGTGACATGTCCACGCTATACAAAGAGAGAAGTACCTGTGGCCAAAAAGCTGAACCTCGGTCTCATTAGACCAAAATGTTTTGGAAGACTTACTGTATTTTTATGCCAACTGTAGCCGGGCTTGGATGTTTTCCTTTGTTCGAAAAGGCTTCCCTCTTTGACACATCCCCCACAGTCCAGACTTATGAAGGGAGACGGCTGTCACTGCTTAACAGAAGTTCTTGCAGCTCCTTCGGTGATGCTGCAGGTCTTGCATCACCACTGTCATCCCATATTTTGTCTTCATTGTGTTCCAGGATAAATCTAATGCTGTGGAATTTATTTTCCTTTCTTCTGACTGATGTCTTTCAACAATGAGGTTGCTTTCATGCTTTGTGAGCTCTCTGTAAACTAAGACATTAACCCAAGAAGCCTGAAAGCAGTGACTAAATCAAAGTATTAGTCTAAGTGTGAGCACACTCATGCAACCAGCTTGACCTGACAGATTTGTTGGACTGTACAGGTTAAAGGTCACGTCAAAGGTGGGAAGGTGCTTCCAGGTCCTGTTCCAGGTCTGCCCTGACCTGCTGTTCCAGGGTAACTACTGCTAGCTTAATGAAAGAAGAAACTAAATTAAAAATAAAGTGTCAAACACGCCTGATCACGCGCTCTGATGGACTGATGCAGAGGAGCTGTCACACTCCTCCACGACGCTGTAGAACACCTTAGAGATGCCACGAGAGCTTTGCAGATATTTACTGAGTGTGTAAGCAGCAGCCAGGTGCTCATAACCAGCTTCACAATGAGCTGATCATCGGCAGTGTGAGCCCTGCTATGAAAGCAGATGTTTTGTTGGTCTGGAGCATTCAGGTGTGTGTTAACATGATGCTGAGGAGGAAAGACATCAGCAGTGATCTTAGAAAAGAAACTGCAGCTGCCCATCAACCTGGAAAGGTTATAAGATCATATCAAAATAAACCAAAGTCCATCATTCTGCAGTGCAGAAGATTAATGAAACAGGTCAGAGCATGCAACAGACCCAAGAGCTCATCTCAGACTCTTCAGTTTGCAGGTTTAAACTTAAACTTCATGACAGTATGACTAAAAAAAAGCAGGGGAAGGCCTCTTCTGTCTAAAGAGAAAGCCTCCTGGAGCAGTATCCTTCAGACAGACAAGACCAAAGTGGAGATGTTTGTCCATAACGCACAAAATCAAACCCAGCATATCAGCAAAAACACCTGAGAGCAGCTGTCAGCACGGTGGAGGAGGGACGATGATCTTAGTGCACCGTGAACTCTTGTCTAAGTGTTCTAGAGTCAGTGTGAGGCCGTCTGTCCCACAGCTGAAGCTCGGACCATCAGCAGCACCACAAACATCCAACAGAACGGCTGAAACAGGAACGAATGGAGCAACTATGATGGTTTGGTCAGAGTCCAGAGCTCAACCTGAGTGAGACGCTGTCAGGCTCTCAGGTTTGGATTCTGATGAGTGGCTGAGTAACTGGTTTTTATGTTGCTTTGTTTACATATTCCACACTCCGTATTCCAGATGTTGCATCTGTAGATTCCTCGTTTTCATTAAATGATCCTGTTGACAAGATTACAGAGCTCAGCAAAAAAAGGCCTCTATGTCCAGCTGCACTGTTATCTTCAGACAACAATGAAAGTCTTTTAATAAAAGTAAACAAAAAGGCCTCGGCCTCCTGTCTCTGTCTTTCTGTAACATCGATGAGGAGCCCACATTTTCCTCACCACACCACCGATCAGCTGGACAGCTGATTAAGTAGAACATGAGCAGAGAAATAAAAATGGGGAAGAGGTTAAAGTGGATTCAGCAGGAGGGAGAACCCTTGAACCCATCACAGTGCAGCAAACTCAGTTTGATTAGCAGCAGGTTTATGAACAAACACAATGTGACAGATTTAAAAACATGAGGACTTCCATGTGAACGACAACTTCCTCCAGCGAAACTCTGATAAAACATTAATTATTGGTCCCGACCATATGATCTCAGAAATTAGGCAGCATTTCAGCTTCTGTTAAACCAAGCCTTCGAGACCTCTGTGTCGTATTTGACAGCTCGATGTCGCTTGGTCCACAACTGCTTTCATCGTCTAAGGAATATCTCAAAACTCAGGCTAATGGTGTCAAAGGCTGAACTGCAGATGATTATTAATGCTTTTATTTCTTCCGGTTTGGATTTTTGCAAAGGTCTTTCTACTTGTTTTAGTTCTAACCTTCCAGGCTCCCCAGTGCATATCGGACCTGCTGAAACTGCATTCATCGTCCCGAGCTCTGAGGTCATCAGGTCACAGACTGCTGGTCGCCGCACGCACTCCATTTAAACTCGTGGTGATCGGGCCTTTCAGGCTGTGGAATTCTCTTCTACTGTTTTTACGCTGAAGACATTTTTATATAGACAAGCTTTCAATTAATTTTTATGTTGTATTTGATTGTTTTACATTGTTATTTGTTGTATTTTGATTCCTAGTATTGTGAAGCACTTTATGATTTTTATCTGTGGAAAGCGCTGCATTACAGAAGTGTCGAGCTGCCACTCAGGCAAACAAAAACCAGAGCTACATCATGTTATAATGGAAAAACTTTATTGTTCTAACAATAAACTTTTCTGCCGCGCTTAGCAAACGTAAGCTTATAATACAGTAGGAACATCATGTCAATTCAGACTTTAGAAGCTTCTTCGGTATTTAATCCGGAAAAGGACTGAATTTGATGAATAAAGCGCCAAAATGTCACAGCGTGATAATAAAAGACCCTCGGCTAGCTCCAGAACAAAGCTACTGCTAAAGGCTAATGCTAGCCAAACAGCCGTGTCGGTAAACCAACAACTGCCGTGACTACTCAGCTATTTCACTACCTCTCCCAATAACTGAGGATGTGATGGGCGAGTTTCCACCTCTACCAGTCTCATCCAGCCAGTCTCCGGCGCCAAAGAAAGGCGTTGCGCTCAAAGGAAGATAGCGTGGATGTTGCTGAAACTATCAAAGCTAATAAACGAAAGAATGGATGACCTCGCGTTATAGATTGCCGGAGTCAGAAGAATGGTGGGCTTTGCATGTGAGAAGATAAAAGATGTCAAAGGCAGAGACAAGCTCCAAAGAGGAAGAGCGTATTACACGCCTTATAAAACACTTTATCGACGAGGCTAATACTGAGAATTCCTACAGCACAAAGTGGGAAATTTGAAACAAGTGTTGAGACGGTGTGGGGCAAAAAAAGTCGAGTGCAGCAGCAGAAGAAAATCTGATTGTTCTGTCATATATTGACTCCCACCAGACGAGGTCTCGGAGGAGGACAGATTACGTCTTAGGACCTTTCAATCTAAACTGGATGAGATTTGCACCAGAAAGCTGAAGGAGCTTTTGTTCGTTCAGGAAAAAGATGGATGGACTTATTACTTTAATTCCCAAACCTAAGAAGGACCTACTTTCTACAGACAACTGGAGACCAACAAGCCTCCTAAATAATGATTATAAAATATTAGCTCTATTGCTAGCTAGAAGAATTAAATATATTTTGGACGATATTGTAGACGAGACACAGTCTGGTTTTATGACAAACAGACACATCTCCAATAATATTAGACTCGTCTTGGATATTCTGGACTACTCAGCATCTGATGACTCATTGATCCTTGTCCTGGACTTCCATAAAGCCTTTGACTCAACTGAGCATGAGTTTATATTTCTCACACTTCAGAAATGTGGTTTTGGTGATATCTTCTGCAGAGCTATCAAAACTCTGTATTCCAATGCTAATAGCTGTGTTAGAATGAAAAACAGCACCACTTCTCGTTTTGGTCTCAATCGAGGTGTAGGCCGATCAGTGCGGATCTTTTTACTTTGCACCCAAATTCTTGCCTCTCATATTTCGAATAGCCCTGTGAAGGGTATAACCATAGCAGTCAGTTGGCAGATGATACCACAACCTTTCTTTAAAATGCCAACCAGGTGCTGACTGCTTTACATTTACAGGATTTCTCAGAAGGGTCTGGATTGATGCTAAACTTCAATAAATGTCAGTTATTACCTGTCAAAGAGTGTAATGTTCAGAGTCTGTGTAATATAACAGTTAAAAATGAAGCAACATATTTAGGTCTGATGAGCAAAGATAAACAACAAAACAAAAACAACAGAATTTTACTAAATTTTCCCCAAATTCTTAAAAAAACTCAAACCAAGTGAAATCAGTGGTTGCAGAGAGATTTAAGTTTAAAGGGATTTAAGTTTAAGTTTAAATTTAAGTATTGCTCTGAAAAGCAGAAGGTCTGTCTCGACTGACTTATGCAGCAATTTCTCTGCATGTGGACGGCAAAACTTGTAAGGATGTTGACCGAATGCTCTTCCACTTCCTCTGGAAAAACCGGACACATTACATCAGCACGAGTGTAGTGATGAATGACAATGAACACAGAGGTTTTGGATTCCCTGCTCCAAACAATACATTAAAGATTAACCAGACAAAGCATTTTCCTAAAAATCAGGTCTCCATCTGGGATTGTATTCCTCACTACATTTTCTCTAAGTTTGGGGGTCTAAGTTTTGTCTTAGGTTGTGATTGTAATATAGATAAGCTTCCAGAAAACCGTCGACGTTTCACAAACAAGTTCTGTTAGCTTTGTCCCTTCTATATAAACACAACTTTACACCCCATACGTGTTTAATCTGGAATAATAGGAACACAGTGCATAAAAATAAATCATTATTTTTTTCTAGGTGGGTTGAGAAGCAGATTGTTTTAGTGAATCAGCTGTTTAATCCTAATGTGCAGCTCATGTCTTATCCAGAATTTCTAAACACTTATAAATTTCCAGCCACATCCAAAGACTATGTCGTATTATTTGATGCGATACCTGCGGGTATTATAATGCTTTCTACAGGTATTCAACCTTGCATATCATCTGTTTCTCTGAACCCTGTGGGTTCACACACTGGAAGAATCTGTCTGCTAATACGAATATTCCTGCTTTGTTCCAGAGAGCATCTCTTATTGGAATTCCTTTGTCAGTGACATTAACAAGAAAAATTTTGTTTATTTCGAAGGCAAAAAAGAAGGTGATATATATTTTACAATAAATTTGTTAGTTATCTTAGCTAAATTTTATTTCCACAAATGCAAATACAGTAGCCAAAACCTAATTTAAACTCTACTATAATGATACTCTCTTACATAAGATTGATTCGTGGATCACTTAATAAAAACGATTTTGTGCTATTTAAAATCATTTGAACGTATGTAACTTCTTAATTGGTGCACATTCTCTGTATACTGTTTTTTAATAAAGGTTTTGGAAAAAAGAAAGAAGAGAAAAAGTCGGACCCGAGAGGAAACCGGAGCCGAGGCTCCACCTGCGCTCACCTGCCGTGATCTCCAGCAGAGCTGTGATCAGGATGCTCCCTCAGAGGGACACTCACCTGTCCTGTGCAGCTTGATTTGGGGTTTCCAGGTGATATCCAGCAGTCTGCGCTGACGGTCGATCTCTTCCTCGTACTGGACGATCGTTTTTTCAAACTCCAAGAATATTTGTTCAGCAGCAGCAGTTAGTCGCTCGTTGATGAACTCTCTCAGATACTGAACTGAAGGCATCGTTGCTGCCGCAGCTCACACACTCAGCTCACACACACTCAGCTCACACACACTCAGCTCACACGCTCAGCTCACACACACTCAGCTCACACACTCAGCTCACACACACTCAGCTCACACACACTCAGCTCACACACACTCAGCTCACACACACTCAGCTCACACACGCTTGGCTCACACACTCAGCTCACACGCTCGGCTCACACACTCAGCTCACACACACTCAGCTCACACACTCAGCTCACACACCAGAGCAAAGCTAACGGTCCAGCCACCGGATGTCCGTCCTCACAGTTCCGGCAGCTCTTCTTCAACTTCCGTTGCATTACCGCCACCTTCTGGATGAGAACAGCTTTTTTGCTCTTAAAACCCTGAAACTACATCACCTGTGTCGCTTTGTAATATTTCTTTTATTCATAATTGAACTCTATTTTTCTGAAAGTCAGATTTGCCTTTCCCGTCTATTTTAACCACATTCTAACATTACTTGCTCAGATGATCCTTTTTAGTGTCATATAAACTGTATGACCAAACCTTAGTGCTGAGATTATATCTTCTGCTCTATGACTTCTTCTGGAGTTTCATCTCTTTTCAGACGACAGAAAAACCCAAATGTTCTATTTAAAAGAAAACCATCAGTATTCATACGCTCTGTGATTTATTCCCACAGGCGTTGATTTAGTTCAGCTTTATCATTGCTCCGTCCTGACAGAGCTGTTTATCGAGCTCCGACTAAAGAATAAAAACAGAATTCAAACACAGGACTTAACGGGTACAACCGATCCTGTTTCAGGGTCACATATAACAGTTGTAGAAAGCTGTTTGCAGCCAACAGGAAAAAAGAAGAAAGGATAAATCTGAGAATCTGTTTTTCCTCCAGAGGCTCGTCACAGAAACACGAGACTTTGGAGAAACGTCTGGACCTCCTACGAGGGATCTTCCAGGAATGGTGGCGTTTTCCGGAGCTCTGATTGGTCAACAGGCACTTTCATACCTGCTGATCTCAAAGCTGTTTGCAGCGTAGGTTACCATGGTGATATGCCCCAGTAAGAAGAAACCAGGGTTAACGCTGGTGACGTGGATTAGAGCTTTAGTGAACAAAAACAACCATAAATAAACGGAGTCGAGTCATTTTGTTGTTGTGGATCAAACAATGACGAGCTTCCAGCTGCTCGCCGCAGCAGGTCAGTCGATGTTTTATTGACTCGAGGGGGCAGAGTTCAGTCAGTGGATGGAGAGCATCCATGTATGTCTGAACTCTGACGGGGTCATTCTAACATGTGAACTTGCTCAATCATTTTCAGTTATGCTCGATTCTGTTTACCCGTCACATAAAACCCCCTGCACATTTAAATTTGTGGCTGTGACGTGTGGAACAGCTCATAGGTCATAATCGTTCAGGGGGAGGGCAGCTTCTCTCAGAGTGCGAGGTGAGCGTGAGACCGCTGTGACTGAAACTTTCTCTTATTTCATAAACAGGGCAAAAGAAAAACATGATCACAATTTAGAAGAAACTTTATTTATACAGGTTACTTTAACAACAACCTACACTTTGTTAGTGTCACCTCTACAGTCTGAAATGATACAAAGTTACCGTAAGTATGACACACGAAGGGTAAAATGAAACTGGGAGGATTGCAGCCACGACAGAATCCAGGTCAGGAACCGTGGAGGAGAACATGACAGGAACAGAGCGCGTTGGTACGGTTAGGGTTGGATGGACGAAGCAAAGGAAAACGGCTGCGTGAACGACACGAGCTGACGAGCTCCTTTGCCGTCGGAGCCAAAAGTCGAGGCGGGAGGCAGACGCCAACGCCCCGCTCCGACCTGCAGCTTTCCAGGCTACGACTCCTCACCTGTGTGAGTGTCCAGGTGCTCCAACAAGCTGCGACTAGACGGAAAAGTGGCGCTGCACGCGTCGCAGGGATACAGCTCCTCGCCGGCGTGCGTCTTCATGTGCACGGACAGGATGCTTTTCTGACGGAAACTTTTCCCGCAGCTCTTGCATGAGTACGGCTTCTCGCCCGTGTGCGTTCTCATGTGCACGGACAAGATGTTTTTTTGGCGGAAGCTCTTCCCACAGGCTTTGCAGGGATACGGCTTCTCGCCCGTGTGCGTTCGCTCGTGGATCGTCAGATCGCTTTTTTGAGCGAAACCTTTACCGCACGTTGTGCAGGAATACGGCTTCTCGCCCGTGTGAGTGCGCATGTGCACGGACAGAATCTTTTTCTGGCGGAAACTTTTCCCGCAGGCTTTGCAGGAATACGGCTTCTCGCCCGTGTGCGTTCTCATGTGCACCGACAAAGTGCCGCTGAATCGGAAACTCTTCCCACATTCTTCGCAGGTGTGCGGCTTCTCATCGGTGTGCGTTCTCACATGGACCAATAGGTGACCCCTCTGAATAAAACCTTTCCCGCATATTTCACAAGCGTATGGCTTCTCACCTGTGTGAAGCCGCATGTGGCTCAGCAGGTGACTGCTCTGAGTAAAACCTTTCCCGCACGTTTCACAGGAGTACGGCTTCTCGCCCGTGTGGGTTCTCATGTGACCCAACAGGTGAGCCCTCCGAGTGAAACTCTTCTCACATGTTTGGCAAGTATACGGCTTCTCGCCTGAGTGGATTTTCTGGTGTTCCTTTACGTAAGAGTTTTTCTTAAAGGCTTTTCCACAAACATTACATTTAAAAGGCTTTTTACTCGAGTCGGCGTCGCGCTGACTCTCTGACACCGGACAGCTGCCGGGAGCGCCGTCAGAGTGAAGCTGGTGACCGTTAGCCTCTGGTTCACTGTGGTCACTGTCATCAAAAGCAGTCACCAAGAAGGCGTCGGTCTCATCCTTCAGGACGAGCTGCTCATCCTCCTGGCTGGTGCGCACTTCCTCCTGTTCCTCTTTAATGTGTAGAGGCGTCGGCTCCTCCTGGTCCTCACTGGAGTTCATCTTCAGGTCACACAGCTGCTCCTCCTCACAGACAGAGAGACAAACCACGAAAACATTAGTTCAAACTACAAATGACACAACAGTGTCCTCACACACACACACACGTATAGTTGTCTGAAAACGAAGCCTCTTTATTTCAGTTTCATTGCCACGGGATAAAACAGATTGGTTTTTAATTCAACACGTCGTCTTTTATACATTTCTGGGATTCCCTCGTCCTCAGTCAGGTGATCTACGCTACGCTGCTCTTTGTGGACTTCAGCTCATGTCCTGGTCACAGACCGGTGACCAGCTGACGACCCCTCACTGCCTCACTTCTGTGTGATTGCTCCCAGGGTAGACGAGCGGGGCCCCACATCACCCGAGCCTAAACGCTGGCTCCACCCTTTACACCCACATCCACACCCCCACCCAGTCCAGCAATAGCATCATCAATTCTGAGGACGAGACAATCCCAGTGACACAGAGGAGGACCTGACCCGCAGCACAAGCACAGTACTGGTTTAAAAGCTGCTGTGTCCTCCT